GAAATAAAATCATAAATGTAGAGGAGGATTTTTATGTTTAATTAAATAGGCATTTTTACAAAAACATGGTACGGTATTTTTATTTTTGAAACAATGATATGATGATATATTGTTGTTTTGATATAATTACATAAATTGTATAATGTAATTCAGTGTTGTTAAATACTTTTCTATATAATCATAATTATGTTGCTACATAGGTGCTTATATTTGATAATAGCTTATATTTAGACTAAGTCAATATGTCGTCGGCAACAACAAAATGAAGCGTGACATTAAAGTGATCTGAATAAATGTCAATCTCATTTTTAATTGCGTCGAAAGCGATATTAATATTCAATAAACATAATTATCTGTGGCGGTTACTTGAAAAAAAAAAAACTGTATAGAGATTTCTTTATTATTTATTGGGTATTCGGCTTAGATAACCTTCATATCGCACGGACTCATCTCTTTAGCTTATAACGTGACTACTTAAAATCAACCACCCCAGTGGTGGAAATTATTATAATTTTAACGTTACTAACAACCCACAAATTATTTGTGTAAGTATAGCCTACTAATAAACACTTAAAGCCAATACATTATTCCAAATTTTCTTTTTATTATTACATATTCGTATCAAATTAATGAACTCCGTTGTCAAAGACAAGGTGGAAGACACATAATTGGTTCACCGATATTTAGGGATAACACTTCTAAGGTTGCAGCTGTGTTGTCGTCAATTTTAAGAGGTTAAGCCTCTGGTAGCAAATTCGTCAGACGCAATGAAAAATTATTCTTCAACTTCTATTATAATCTTCTTTAGGTCTTCTGTGTGGTCGTGGTATACCCTCGTACGTGCTAACAATTTAATAGCAACGTAATAAACTATGTTGTTGAAATAATTGTTAAAGGTTTCAAAAAAAATTATATCTTTGATCTTTAACAGCAAATCTATTTTTCTCTTTTTCTCTATGATGACACTTAGATTAAATGAATGAAGCAAATTTTTCATATTTTTACAATCGATAATGTGACTCAGAAATGGTGAAAGAATTTTTGAAATTGATGTAGTTGTTCCGGAGATTACCTTCAATTAAAACACTTTTCCACTTTTTCCGTATCATATTAATATCGATTATAATATCGTATGTATATATGTATTATTAATTTAATTTAATAATCGAAAAAAATTACATAAATCAATTCGATTTAGACAAAACGTTGACTGACAAATGCATAGTGGTATCGATTGCTATAAAGCAGTCACTTTATCCTAAGCGTTTCATCGTCTTACGAGCCAGCAAATTAATACACGAGTTTTATCACGGGGCCCGTAACCCGGTCTTGTTTTGGTTGTTATATTATTGGAACAAGATGTTATTCCCTTATCGTCTGTTTTTATTCGTCCGGCCAACGTTAATTTATTATACGGGAGTTTGTTATTGATTCGATGCACGGTTCGTAAGTAGCCCGGTGCATATTGTTCTCGTGTTTGGATTTCACTTTGGCACCACAAAGGCGCCGAAAGTCGTCACTGGCGCCTGATAAGGCTGTCATTGGCTGACCTCGGCGTCGTTTAGCCTCGAACGTTTCTCCGATACTAGAGGTTGTTCGCTTCTATAATTAAATGAAATTTGATTGGTAGTGATGACTCCGTGGCGCAGTTGCCAAGGTATCAGCTTCGGCGTCGGGGGTCGTCGGTTCGATTCCCACACGGGACAACTATTTGTGTTGCCTACAGATAGTTGTTTCGCATCTGGGTGTTTGTCCGCGTGAAATTTATGTTTGTAAAACGTCCTTACAACACAGGATAATGTTATCCTAAAGTAAGGGCAATGCTTAAAAAAAAGTGCGGGAGCGTCGTAATAATAACAGGGCCAGGAATACTTTGGGTGATTAACAACGTTGTAGGAATGTTTTAGGTTTTAATGTCTGATACAAAGATGGCGCTAGTTGTATATCTGAGTCTTTAAACATTTGAATCCAATTTATTCATGCAGAACATACTTTTAAATCAATTACTAGATTTACATGTAATACATACAGGCAGGCAGACATACGATATAAAATAAGATGATCCCGTAGCGCTGTCGCCAAGAGTTGATTTCCACACGAGACATCTGTGTAACGCACAAATAATTGTTTCGGATCTTGGTTTTTGTCCATGTGAATTTTTTTGTATGTAAAATGGCCATACAACACACGATAATGTTATTATACAGTAAAGGCAACGATTAAAAAAAAATTAAAATATTATAAAATGGCCTTAATAAGAACGTAGTGAAAATATCCAAAGAACTTAAATGGACATAAAATATTTATTATCAAGCTGTGACATACGAACACGACACTTCGTGCTTAGCTTCCACTGAAACAATGCGTCACAACTATTGGTTTATTTTGGGGTCGTGAATCATCTTTATGGGCAATTCCGACGGTGTATTTTGGCAATTCGCTGAATTATTGTACTCGTACGGGCTGGGAAGGCGCTGTCTATTGCCTTCCGGGGTGAGGTATAGGCGTCTTTGTCTTTGATCAATACAAAACGGCCATGTATACCGCTTCAGGAGCGTTGGTAATTTCCAGTTAGTATGGGGACGTATCGCTACGTGGTTGAGGTAAATTAGTAACGATTGGGAAGTTTGCACTTGCTGTTATATCCTATATAGTAATAGGGTTTTATTTTAACTACCTCAGAATTTCAATATCGAAATTCTTCCTAAGTCATGTTCGATATATGAATTTTCAAGTAAGGGCAGTAAAATTTTTATATATATAATCTCTTCTGTATATGTGCATGTCAATGATGTTAGAAATGAATATTTGATATTAGAATTAAAATATGTTTAAGGGTGTATATCTTTTAAGTAAGTTCTAAAAAATACTTTGTATAAAGAAATAATGTAAGGCATTTTAATGTATGTCCAAGAGGTATGTACAGTGTATTACTCCAGCCAACCATGATGTTTTGCGATTCGCCCATGCCTAAGATATTAATTAACGATAACTGCAAACTGGCCGACTGGACATGATAACCCTTACATTCATCCGTGACACATTATGGAAAATAGGTAGAGGTTCGAATCTCCATCTGATCATCCAAGGCTTTTGTCGTGTCCTCCCCCCCCCCCCCCCCCCCCCCCCCTCTGTTATTCGATTGTCTATCTTTCGTTAGCAGGGTGTTGCGGATTGCAGCGGAGCGGGCGACATCTACGTGTCGTCGTCGTGCACTAGTTACGTTGTACTCCCGAGTCCGTGGGTCTTACTTGCGGACCTCTTCCGCCGAAGCTGTCAAAGCCGCTGGGCTAACGGCAAACTAAATTTACCTAAATTATCAATATACCTAAATTGCTTAAGTAATATTTTTTTGTAGATAAATGAACAAAAATGTTCAGCACTGCGGGATTCGAACCTGCGATTTTTATGGTTTTGCACCCAGATGCTTTACTAAGCTAATGGGCCGATGTCTTCATGGCACGACGAATCTTGACTGGCCACCTCGACTGCGATGATACCAAAAGTCCAGAGGTCAGTAATTATCATGTGTCAGGTTGTATATCGCATGCAATTATTCGAGGTGCTATCTAATATGGAAACCAATTAAAGTGTGTCCTATCAATAGTTCCGTTTTTTTTAGAACCAACTAATAAAACGAAACAAAGCAGTAGTTTATATTTCGTAGTAGCTTTATTTTTATTATTATTCTCACCGAGTTTACACGTATGATATATATCAGAATTGAAAGAGTCAATCAAATTGGCAATCGTATCCTTCGAGATATTCTCGGATTTGTCGGTCTCAGCCGGCGTTAGTTTAGCAGTAATTGAAGAATCCGTTGAGGGGATGGGCGAGCTGGTGATTATTGCTGCTCATTTTTGTCAATCATCATCATCATCAGCCGCAAGACGGACACTGTTGAACATAGCCCTAACCCTTAGAACGCCAATACGAACGACACGTTGCCATTTGTATCCACCGGTTGCCTGCGACTCTTACGATGTCGTTACCACCTAGAGTTTATCCCAAACTGTGTAGTAATTTGCCGTATTTTTCAGATCTACATTTGCCTGGTGATGCTTATTTCTCAGACGTGATGCAAAATTGGTCGCATTGACCGTGGTAGGGCCACGTGATAGTTCGCTATGGCACAAAAGGGCTGGTCCGACTGGGTACCACGACCTCGCAAAAGTCCGGTGTGAAGGGGAAGTGTTATATTACTGTGTTTCGTTTGTTGAGTGAGGTAGGCGGGGACCATTTTATTAAAAGGTGGCAACGCATAAGAAACCCTACGGGTGTTGCAAATGTCCTACTAATAACACTAGTGTCGTGAAGGTATTGATTAAATCGTATTTTTTTGTATTCGATTGATTTATATTCGATAGAAAATCGAAGGCTAAGGGATGAGGGACGAGGGCGAACGGCAGGACTTGGTCGTCAACGATTCAAGCAGCTCTTTGTTGTATTCAGTGAATTAGTAGGTGCTTGTATTGATGTGCCTCACCCCAGAGATGAGAACAGTATTCTACGTGTTTACTCTTCTTCAAGATTTTTCCTTGATTGTTCTTGTAGCTTATAAGTGTAATGTGCCGCGAAATGTGATGTAAACACATCTTGATGCGATGCAATGCGAGCGGTTAATTAATAAGACATAAATTATCAGCTCCGTTATCTTCATTGCCATAAATATTAGTTTGTATTTCCATTAATAAGTATTTCTATTAATTTGTCCCTTAGCGTGTGTTATTTGTGTTGAAACTCCTTTTTCCTGAATTTCCTGATGTAACGAATCTTTACAGTAACTTCCCGCGGTCAAAGTCACAGACTGAGTTGTTTCACGCACTTTACAGACGCACACCCAAGTAAAAGCAAAAAAAGAAAATTGGCAACGACCGCTATGTTGGTTGAAGCTTTAATTTCTTAATGGTTAGAATGATCAATTCAAAGAGTTTAACCATCCCTTTGGCAACTCAAATAATTTCTAGGATGATCAGTGATTCAGAAACCGGTCGTTAGAGATGAATTCAAACACGTCGGTCGTTTTGCCTGGCCATCAGGCGGGGAGAATGGCGACGGTGAATTGTACAACCACTCCGTGGTCCACGAACAATTACAGATTACGACATATAGTCAGGGTACGCGAGTCACTTGGCCTGATAGAGGTATTACTGCGACCGCTTGACGTATGTGGTGCTCTTAACGGCCGTTCCGCAATATCGCCATCAAGTAGGGTCGACGCGACAAACAGGCGTTGCCAGCGGACGTATCAGCAGCGGGCACGGCCACCAGGGAGGCATAACTTAGGCGCTCCAGAGAGCCGGAGGCGGCGCGTCCGGCCACGATTTACGGCCGGCCCGATAGCGGCGCGGCGCATAGTGAAAAATAATGGCGGACGGATTGGCTTTATTGGGCCTGTTAGGACCGGAGGCCTTCACGGCGTCACCCCGTCTGGTAACTCGATCGCGTCACAGAAATATCCTTAGTATATAATGCCATTAGTTGTTTATTTGACATACTTCATACTACTTCTGGTTTTTTCTGTCTTTATTCTTTCTGTCAGCTCAGTTTGCTCGAGTGTGTTGAATTAAAAGCGAGCGCCCGGACTCGTAGCTATCACGGCTACAGGCTAGATGTCTGTTACTTTACAATACTTAACATCATCATCATCATTTCAGCCTGTTTGAATCTACTGCTGAACATAGGCCTCCCCCATAGACTGCCACGAAGTACGATCCTGAGCCACCTGCATTTTTTTTATGTGACAAGTTGCCAAACGAACAGACGGTTCACCTGATGTTAAGTGAATACCGCCGCCCATAGACATCTGCTATACTCGAGGGTTTGAAGATGCGTTGACAACCTTTTTGGAAATTGGGCTCCGGCTACCTCACTCACCAGACGAAACGCGAAAGTATTTGTCACTTTACGCCGGTCTTCTGTGAGGTCGTGGTACTTACCCGGACGAGCCTGCCCATTCGTGCAACAGCCGAGGCTGCTGCGTGGCTCTACCACCGTTAATCCATCGACTTTCCGCACATTTGCATAGGTCGTCACTCCATCTAGTGGGGGTCGCCCTACACTGCGATGGCCAGTACGAGGCTGCCACTCGAGAACCTTTCTTCGCCAACGGTTATCGGTTCTACGAGCTATATGCCGGCTCATCGCCGCTTCAGCTTGCTAATCCTCTGAGCTATTTCGGTTACCTTGGTTCTACTGCGGATTTCTTCGTTACGAACTCTATCACGCAGAGAAATACCGAGCATAGCCCGCTCCATAGCTCGCTGAGCGACTTTGAGCTTCCTCATACGGCCAGTAGTGAAGGACCACGTCTCGGTTCCGTAGGTCATCACTGGCAACACACATTGTTGAAGACTTTAGTCTTCAAACATTGAGGTATGTTCGACGAGAAGATTTGCCGAAATTTCCCCTACTATACATACGACCTAAATATTTATATCAAAAACAATCTTAGCGACACCGCCGATACAGGCTTGTTTCAAAAAAGATAAGTAGAAACGGTGATCGAGTCGATCCTTTGCCTGATAATAGATGATGAACACCAATTGGCATTTGAGGATGTCGATGATGACAATACGCCAACGTAACTATAACTGTACGATCAAAAAAAAATCAAAATCGAAATGATTCTTAAATTCGGTAACAAATAATTTTTAGGTAAATCCAGCGCGGAGTTATTCTGTAAGTTTTTGGTCTATACGAAACTGTTTGGGAGAATTTAGGTGTGCCTGTAAATTCGCGATAACTCCAGCAGAACCCCACGTCCGGTTACAATGTATCTATTTATAATTCCGTTAGCAAATGGCCGCATTCGACAACGCAGGAGTGAGACACGCTCAATGAAAACACCGATAACCCGAGGCGATAGGGCCCTGATAATGCAACTGAAACGTCAGCCCCTTTGACACGCATCGCCCATGGTCGATGTCAAACATTGTGTGGCAACTGCTCTTATCTATATGTCAAATCATTGTCGATATTGCATCAATATTTCCTACATCAACAAGATTTACTGTGGTAGGGCTACAGCTTCTGATGTTGCAATAGTGGGCAGGCAGGTCTGGGGAAGTACCACGGCCTCACAGAAGACCAGCGTTTTGTCTGCCGTGTGAAGTGAAGGGGCCCACTTTTTGAAGGTTATCAACGCATCTGCAATCCGTTGGGTGTTGCAGATCGGGTCCATGGGTGGCGGTATTCACTTAACATTAGGTGTACCGCCTGCGCGCTTGACAACTTTTCACATAAAGAAAAAATTGTATTAGTTTTGCTTATAGTCAATTGGCCATAACCAAGTTATGTCGAGATCGAGAGACCAAGTAAAGCACCTATATATATTTTGCATCTATTGATATCGAAAAGAGGGACGGTACCTATAAGGGATTGATTACGGAAGGAAGACCGGTCGATATTCTTACTTCTAAAAAATTTATCAGGTGTTGAATTAAACAAAATTTGCGATTATAAAACTAGTGAAACAATATACAGCGTGTCGTTACAACTACGACAATAAATGAGCACACGTCTAACGGAACTTGCCAATAATCATAAAAAAATATAAAACGTTAAAAAAATCCATACTTAAAAAAAATTTTTTTTTCAAACAAACTAATGAAATAAAAATGAATCAAAATTTGTAACATCCTATACAACTACAACTGACTGATCAGACTGACATTCAGAGTCTTTTTCATTCGTTGCCACAAGGTCGCATTACAAGTCTCTCCTTCTAAAAGTATGTTTTATCTCCTTTTAATTCATTAAACCCATTCATATGCTTTGTGACCTTTACAAATGAACTTTACGTTACAGTTTTATACGTAAGGATGTTCTTAAAATGTTTGTTTTGTAAAATTTAATAACTCTGTAAATATTGATGTTTAAAAAATGTAAATAATTTTAATATGTTTAATACAATTTTAAAAAGTTATCCTCTATATGTGTGTTCATTTATTGTCGCGGTTGTAACGACACACTTTATATAATAATATAACAAAACTGTTGTTGAATCAGCAAAATGATTGTTTCTTTGTTTTCATTGCTGACCAAATGCAAGTCTCATGTTATTCATTGGGGCGGTTATAGAACGTGGATCATCTCTACTGCTACCGCCAACCGCATAAAGCTCTCCCGACAAATATAATTGAACGTTTAATATCGCGATAATTATGATTTGTGCCCCTCGGTCGATATCGTTATGCTAATTATTACTTTGGCTCATTGAATAGCAGCTGCTGTCGTTATCGGCTCCATTGAGCGTTCACGCGCGTCCATTCATCTTCCGCGACCTATTTACTAGGCTGTGTTACTACTACGACTATTGGGAGAATTTGTAATCGGTGAAATAAATATGAATATTCAGCTTCTTTAAATTGAATGTTAATTTAACATGGAAATGTACGCAAACTTAAATAACATTCAAATGATAAATTAATACAAAATATATACTAGAACAATGAAACTAAAACTAAAAACCTTAAAAAAACAAAAAATAATGTAATAACTAAAATATATTATTAAAAGGAGTCCCTTTAGGCAAGGTTCCGAAGATACTGGCAGCGTTCCCCCTTTGAATAGCTAGACTAATTCTTTGTCCGAGGTAGCTGCCAGCTCTTCGGTCTCCTTTGATGTCGACTAACCTTTTTGCTATTTCCTTAAAAAGCCTTATAGCCCACGAACCAAGAGTATGTATGAAATGTACGTATATTCGGGTGAAGCTTTCATTTAGTGAGAAGGCGGAAGCGAACAGGCGGTACACCTGATGTTAAGTAGTAACCTCCAAACATACTGCACATAGACTGTGTTCTAAATTTGGAAGAAATAGGCCCTAGTTACCTTACTTAATAGATGAAAGGCTTAATATAATACGAGTACTTGCACACACTCCAGATTCCTATGAAGTCTGTGAACTCATTAGTGGAAACGCAAAATCTGCTGCGCGGCCTTGCTCTGGTAATGAAAAGCTAATAGAAGTATTTATTATAAAAGACGGACCTTCTAACATAGTACATTGGTATAAATGTCGAGGAATATGCTTCAGCAGACAACAGAGTTGTGGTTTCGAACTAGCACGAACATTTTCATGATATATAAATAATTCGGATCAAGTTTTTGTGTAGTTACAATTTAGGTACAAGTTGCTAATTCCAATTACTACTTTTAATTACTGTATAAAACTAAAGTTAAGAAATGAAGGTGCCTCCGTATCTTGGTAATTATTTTTATACGTTACACTGGTCACTGCGCCTAGAAACAAATTTTATTTGAACTAATTTTAAAAATATTACGTCACTTCAATACTTAAGGATATCAGCAAAGAAAAATACTGCAGTCGACAGGGCTGTTAATGTCTTCACTGGATAATGTTATAACAGGTCTTTGTACGATGGCTAAGTTGAAAAAGAATGATGAATTACTGTCAATCTTATAACTTGACAAGATAATTAAGGAATCTTAACCATTTGCTACAAGAGAGAAAACTGCTGTGAAAAACGTAATGACGACTTTTTTAAACAGGAAAGAGGGGAAAGGAATACTTTACCAATACCGATATTTTGTTATTACACATTATATGTGTTAAAACTAACAGTGATTTTTTTCTGATCATGTTTAAATACATATGAAGTAAAATAAAACACATTAAAGTCCGTTGTCAAACAGTTGCATAGATTAAAGATTGTACCCAAAGTAAATATTTAAAATTTTAAAATATCAGATTGGCTGAATAAGTCTGAAGTGTATGAGTAATTTTAATGAATTACGGTCGTATTTCGACTAACGGGCGACTACTTTTGGACTTACTTATTCTATGGATTTTAAATCAATAATTGAACACAATAATATTTTTTTTAATATTTTCAATAACTTCCATGAAGTATACTACTATATTACTATATATATAATAAATACTAGAAATATAAAATCAATTAATATTTTTTTATGTGAGAAAGTGGCAAACGAGCTGGCGGGTTACCTGATGTTAAGTGATAGCCACCGCCCATGGACATTTGCAACACCCGTAGGGTTGGAGATGCGTTGCCACCTTTTAATAAAGTGGGCCCCCGGCTACCTCACTCACCAGACACTTCCACTTTACGGTCTTCTGTGAGTTCGTGGTACTTACCCGGACGGACCTGCCCGTTCGTGCAACAGTGAACACTGTTCCGTGATCCTACCACTAAGAATATTCATATTTTAAGTTACCGAAATGTCAAAACATCAAACCTGCGTTAAATTCGTTTACTAACGCAGTTTTTTTATGTTTGTTTAAGCGAGCAGGCGGTTCACCTGATGTTAAGTGAATACCGCCGCCCATGGACATCTGCTACCCCCAAGGGTTGCAGATACGTTGACAACCTTTTGAAAATTGGGCTCCGGCTACGTCACTCACCAGACGAAACGACTTCTATGAGGTCGTGATACAAACCCGGATGAGCCTGCCCATTCGTGCAACAGCAGCTGCTGC